ATAACAGAATAACATAACAGATAGACTAGGTATATTCTACCCTACGGACAGAGTGGCCCCACAGCTGTGGGGCCCACATCAGTTTCTCTACAATAGAGAAAGTTAAATCCAATTGAATTGTGAATGGCATTGTTAGTTTTTCAAAAGAAAAATAAAAATAGATATGCTAAAGTTGAAATGTATACACAAAAGTGATCTTGCCTTGTTTTCTATCCATATCTACCATAAACAATAGAATTTACCACTTGTACACTAGAAGCCTAAGATGATATAATTAAGTTTGACTTGAAAGCCAAGTCATCCACATAGAATGGCTCTTTAATCTACATACGAAGAAATGACAAAGTGGAGAATCAAGTCTAAATAGAATAATCACAAGATGTTTACAGAAGAAGATTCAGAAATAAGATTTAAATCAAAACCTTTGGGATTCATGAATCATATTGTAAGGTTTTGACAACTATGGCTAGGAAAGCTTTGTCATTATAGAAAAACTGATCAAAGAATCAGGAGCAATTATAACCCAAGAATTGCAGGCATGATCAAAGATAAAAAAGAATAATAACAAAAAAGAGATCTTTAAAGCCAATGCATAGACAATTCAGGAACATATCTGGGAGGTGGGTTGGATATACAAGAGATAAGAATTGAAATCACTAGAATATGAAGCTAGTTGTCATTGTATTTCATAAATGTTTATAAGAAATTGGATTATCTACACAACTATGACAAAAGCATTGAATTTTTAGAAAAAGATATTTGCCTTGCATCCCCAGGATAGCAGGTGAATTAGTTCTAATAGGTGAAATTCAATAGTTTAAGAAAGGGAGAACTCTGACTTACAATGGAGCTCAGGGAGAATCTTATGTCCATAGTCACGGAAGAACCAAGCAATAAGATTTGTTAACAAGAATATAAAACCATAAACATAGCGAGCTTGCAGAGATTTCTTCCTTTCTATGGAATATAGAACACTCTTTCCTGTATATGCATTTTTTTCTTCGCATGTAATTACATCTGAACTCGTAGGATTAGCTCTTACCACATCAGTCTCTATATCCTCAGTTAACTCATTCATTCTGCAATTTCACGCATGGAAAACAATCAAATATAATGAAGAGAAATGGTGAAAATGTAACAAGTTGGACCAAAACCAACTAATCTTTCTTCACCCAACAATGTCTAAGGAAATTTCCAGTGAATTAAACTGTATGGGAACAAAACCAGTTTCTTGAATTGAACCAGAAGAATAATGAATGGATAACGGAAGTGATTGCATCAGAAGAGAAACAATACCCATATGCAAATACTAAATGACTAATAGATTGTATTAAAAGAAAACTTCATATGCAGCTTATTTATACTGAAGAAATTACAGAAAAAAAAAACGGAACAATAAATCATCTCTTAAAACTGAACTGGATTTCCAGTGAATTAAACTGCATGGGAACAAAACCAATTTCTTGAATTGAACCAGAAGAATAATGAATGGCTAACGTGAAGTTGCATCAGAAGATAAACAATACCCATAAGCAAATGCTAAGTGGCATAGATTGTATTAAAAGAATACTCAAAATGCAGCTTATTCATACTGAATGAATTAAAAAAAAAAAAAAAACAATGAATAAACCCTTGAAACTGAACTTGTAATGCTGATTAGTACATGCAATGAGTGATTGTATTTTGATCCAAAACATGGAAAAGTAGTAAAGACAGTGGAAAAACTGAAAGGACTCAGCGAAATGAGACAGGAAACTCACTCTCTATTGATTTCTGAATGAGACTGAGCTCAGGAACAAACGAAGCTCGTTTCGTCCTCTCAGCACTCACCAGTCTCCACACTCCACTTAAAATATGAATCACTTTTCTTTTCTTGAACCTCACATGAACAATTCCCTCTCCTGAAAGAAACAGTTTGAAAAGGACCTCGATAATTTGATTAACACCATATGTTCAAGTGGGCCCATGATTTAGGACCGTCTGATTGATCAAAATGATGTCCCAAGTCCCAGCATCAGAAACTAGTGGGCCACGCATTTTCCGTAAAGATGAAAGGTATGATCTTTTATTGGTCCCACCATATCTGCCAAATCAAAAGGTGTAGCAACCAAAAGTCATTAGTAGAACACACTGAATCAGAATTGGGGAGGTAAGCTTAGTAGTTTACAGATGTACCGGAAGAGAAAAACAAGCGGAGCAAGACAAGGTGGTGGGACCCACAAGTGTTAACCAATGCTTAGATCCCTGTCTTTCTAGAATTAGTGGTGGGGTCCATCTTAACGCGTCTGTGGAGGCGCTGGTGACCGTTGGGTAATTAAGGGAAATAGGGAATGTATTGTAATGTAACTGGCGCTTTTGAAAAGCTGTTGCCCATAAGTAACCGTTTGCGTGACATTGGACCGACTATAGAGGCGTCCCACTGTAGACACTAAGAACGGTCTGGTAGGTAGCTCTACAGTAATACTACTTCAGTGAACAAAAGTACAAAGCAGAACAGTTGGAAAACAAAGACCCGTTTGGGGCCCCACCAAATCAACAAACAATCTGAGAAGGGGTAGAGGTGGTTGATATTATTGGGTTGTCAAGATCATGGGATTGGTCTGATGGTTGACTAAGATGCTTTCCTAAACAGGACTGATGGACAGATGGACCAATCTCTGTGTTCTATCCAATTATGTTTTTAACTTAAATCTCTGATTATACTTTGATTTTTGCTTTTTGATTTTCTTACTTTATTATTATATTGAGGTGTTGTTGGGTATTATATTATTGGGTTTAGTTATGGCTTCAAGTAATCCCTACTTCCTAGGGAAATGCATTTTGAAAAGGGGTAGTGGGTTTGGTGGAACTGACAGGAAAATAAGGAGATTAGCCGACCAGGGACTCTTCTATAAAATATAAATATTATATATTTTCTAGTATAAAAAGTAACTTTTAAATAATACTTAATTTTCAATTGATTACCCTAGCTCCAAAAAGACCATATAGAGCTAATGTTATAATTCTAAACAAAAGAATTCTTAAATGTAGCAAACTTCTTTCTCAATTTATTTCTTCACCATGACATTACTTGTACTTGGGGTTAGATTACAGTTTTACCCACATGAACAAAGGTTTGATTTCTCTAGCTCCTCCTAAAGTTTGGATGGTGACCCCCAATAGAACCAGAAGATATTGATGCAAAGAAGATAGTTCAGGCTCTAATGCTCCTATATGAATGATATAACAAAAAAATGACAAGTCTATTTACTATTAGGTCTGCAAGTCAGGTTGCGCAATTTGAATTGCATCATGTTCGAGTTAGGGTTTGGTCTCATTCAAAAATTAACAAATTTTCAACCCAAACTGACCCAAGTTGCACCTCCGTATGCTATTCAATGAAATAGTTGTGTTGCTTGATTAATATATCAATTGGGTTCCCCCATTGACATTGTATGTTTTATATGAAATGGGTATTAAGGCCCTTTAACAAAATGATAGAAGGTATTAATGGCAACATGAAACCTTAGAGGAATAAAAGGGTGTTTGATTGCGTACACTGGTATATATAGACATATGTCACATATCATTGGGTGATGATCATGATATGGGGTTGGCTACATGAATCTTAGAGAGATAGAGAGATTCTACTCATGAACCAAATGCCATCTTAGAAAGAGGTCTAGGATGATTATGATCCAAAGATATAAGAAATAAAAAAAAAGAAAGAAAAAAGAAAGATCATTATAGTATTCCATAATCATTTCCAGACTATGATAATTGTTAATAAAACTGCTAATAACTTGAAGTTTCCAAATATCTAATTCTAGTGCACTAAGATTTGTATTTTTTCTGTTAAATTGAGTTAGGTTGCTTTTTAATAAAATTATAAAATTGAGAAAAAGGTTTGACAAGGATTATATATTTATAAGTCAAGGGAGGGAGCTGTCAAAGAACTAAGGGTCCATTTGGTTCTCAATCGAAATCAAAATCCTTCAGAATTGGAATTGAAATGCAATTCGGATTCCAATTCCAAACCCCTATTTCCATGAACCAAATGGGCCTTAAAAATTTAGTCATTTATTCTTATTCCAATTCTGGTTGTAGCAGAGATTTCCCTAACTTCTGCTAGTGTAAGAGTTTCAAATGTTGCCCCCAACCCGGGTGAGGGTGGGATTTGATCCCAAGTCTCTGCTACAACCAGCTGGAAACTTTACCAGCAGGCTAAGCTGGTGCCTTCCCCCAGGTTGGGGACATTTTGGTCTCTCAAAACAAGTTTTTTTTTTTCACTAAAAATTAGGGCTTTTCGTGGTCGATCAAAAATGAGATTTTCAGTTAGTCTCTTTTACCAAGCAAGGCAAGGCTGTATCAGTTTGTAGAGCCACAAATGGGTCTGATCAAATTGGAGGTTTGCTAATATTCGGATTTGGATGGAATTTTATCTATAGAATTTAGATCAGTTTTGGATTTAATTGAATGCCATTAATGTGTTAAGCTAAACAATAAAATGAACTAAAACTTGATATTGTATATCATGGATACAATGAAATGGAAAGAATTTTGCACATAGTTGCAAGGATCCAGCGATGGATTCAGTGAGAAGATGGAGAGTTGAGAGACAAGGATTGAATCGAAGAAGTCGATCTTAGAAGAGGGAAGAAGCAAGAATCTGTCGGTTCTCAAAGTAAGAGAAGAGAGAAGAGCAACTATGTTTTTATGTTTTTATGTTTTTAATAGGAGAGGCTACACAGTGGCTGAAAGGTTTCATTGATGGAGCACGTCTCTCAGTAAAGAAAAATGGGTAGATGAGTTCGTTGGAGCTTCCAAGGAGATATCAAGTGATGCTGAAATACAATAAAAAAGGATGGTTCGTGGCAGTGATTGAGTTTTTTTGGTAGGGATGACAATTCCTACCCTACCCAGTGAGTATCCACCTCTACCCTTCCCGATGGGGCGGGTTTTTTTTTTTTTTTGCTTAAATGACGGGTTTTGGGGCGGGTGCAGGTTTTGGGATTCTACAACCCATGTGGGTACAGGTAAGGTATGGTATTAGGCTAAACTTGACCCTCCCTGACCCACATATTGTTGGAAAGTATATAAACTTTATGTATTAAATGTTGAATTTAATAATATTTTGAATTTTATGTGAAGGATAATTGATAGTTTATGTGTTATTTACATGTCTTAATCAAATAATTAGAAATCTTGATTTTATTTGTGTTATTTTACTTATTTATTGCTTATATATGACCAGAAATAATAAGAAATTAGAGGCGGGTTTTAAACACAACCTGCCCCTACCCTTGAATGTGGAGAGGGTAGGGTCAAGGAGGGTTTTGCACTTTCATGATTGGGTGGGTGGGGGGGGGGGGTTTACAAAACCCTCCCCGAGCCCACCCCGTTGCCATCCCTATTTTTTGATAACAACAGAAAACAATCAGTATGCCTTCTAGTTGGAGCTTGATTGCAATACAAGTTGGGAGGTCTAGAGAGGCAAGTAGGGTCTAGAAGTTACAAAACCCTCCCCGAGCCCACCCCGTTGCCATCCCTATTTTTTGATAACAACAGAAAACAATCAGTATGCCTTTTAGTTGGAGCTTGATTGCTTAGAAGTTGCAAGAATTTGTGGAGATGAATGCAAATACAATAACCGATGGTGGAAAGTCAAAGAATAAGCAAGAGAAAGAATTTGAACAAGAAGTGTTTGTAAGTAGTGCAAACAAAGTGCATAAAGCTATTACTGGAAGGAAACGGAGAAGAATGGGATAGAACATTGGTCTTGGAAGCAATCAAGGAGATTTTGGATTGGGGGATCATTTCAAATTTGCTGAAAAAGAAACTACAGATGGATTCAGGAATTGTGATTGCTCCTTTCAACAAAAAACGAGCTCTGTTGAAAGTGGAAGAGAAAATAGTGGATTTTGACAGGTTAGACACAAAGTGAGATGTGATTCTAGTGCGGAAATGGTTTGTATCCTAAAACAGCAAGATGCTTCACAATGGAGTTTTTGCTACGAGATTATTTGGTTTGCCTTTCAATATTTGGAACAAGTTAGCAATGGAGAAGGTTGTGAAGATGTTATGAGGGATTTTCATTTCTTGCAATCTTACGAATCTGAACTCGGCAGTGGTGGAAGTTGTTGGAGTGAAGCCAGAAGAGGTGTCTCGATCCTTTGATGCTTTTTAAATGGAGCCTGGTCGAAGACCTGGGTCGTGTTAGAACACGAAACGTTGCTAAGGAGGGATGGTCGAGAGGTTGAAGATGAAGTTGACAAGGTAGGGAGAGGCCACGTGGCAGTTAAAGTGTAGAAGAATTTCAAGCGATAGAAATGCTAGATGTGGAAGAAAGTTCAACACAAAAAAAGAAGAATAAAGTTAAATCCTTGGAAAAGATGAAAATATTTAGGCCCCATTTGGTTCACAGGAATAGGGGTATGGAATGAGAATCGAAATGGGCTATTCCAATTCCAACTATTTGGTTGGGTGGAATCGGAATCCCATTCCCATTACCATTCTCATTCCTGTTTGAACCAAACAAACTATAGGAATTGATCATTCTAATTCCGATTTTGACCACAAAACAAATAGATCCTTAATGATTTTGGAAAGAGGGAAGCTAAGAACGAGAAACAAGAGGACATGAACCCTTTAATTGTGAATATTCTGGGTGACACGAGTAGGCGAAATGACTTAAGAAATGTTAGTGAGTCGTGTTTTCAGGGTGCTCCAAACCAAGTGGGATTATGAGGACCTTTTGCAACTCTTTGGATAATCTCGATAAGTCTTCTCTTAGGTTTGACAGTCGACCATTTGAACTTTTCCACCATAGCGATGAGAGTTCAAACGGCTGCCCCAACCCAGTAATGATTCAAAACTCAACATTTATAGGGGAAA